ACAAAATAATAATCAACGCATAACAAAGTTTTATTTACAAAATGTTCGACTAATCTCTGGATTTAATGCTATAATAGACTAATGCTGTCTATCTGTTTTAACTCGATAAAATATAATTGCGCCTTACACTAAACAAATACGCGGACTGTTTTGCGTTAACAGAATTGAGAGTTAAGTGTGAGCGCCAACATGGCCGAATGACCAACCAGGAACAAGTGAGTTTACTCTGAAAACGCTATATTGACCCAAATATAGGACTTGTAAGTAACCGTGAAGATGTTCAGATTAGTCCGTGTGATATTTTATTAACCTTGCTTGTTTATATTAGTAAATTTGATTTATAGAATGACACGGAAGAGAGTCTCCGTGGCCCAGTTGTAGGCATCGTGCACTGTCCACTGAATCAGTGAATGCTGCGAGTTCAAACCCCCGGCCGGGGCAGTGAATTTTCTCAAGGTGTAAAAACCTGGCTCTCAACATTGGAGACTGTGAATCTCCCGTGGCTCGGATGATAGGGTTAGGGTTTTTGCATCATTCCTTGATATCAGGGAAAACAATACACGGGAGTGACTAGCGATTTCGCTCTGGGAAGCTCTAAAATCGCTCTGGTAAGAACAATAACGGGAGCGATCGTCCGAGAGAAAATCGCTCCCGTGGGCTGATAAATTGAAATGTACACAAGTACGTACATACAGCGAGCGCTACATATACACCGTGCATGCAGCAGCGTCTTAAGCTGGGTTTACACTGACGATTATATGCAGTCACGTTGGCGTTTTTCTTCTTTCTACCAACCTCTATATATATATATATATTCAAGGCTCTTACGTTATCGACCGCGAGGCGGCAAAAATTTCAACATTTGACCCGTAGCGTGCGCGCGGGACGACGCAGATACGCATTTTTGCATGTATTACATACCGCCAGCATGGCGCCTAAAGCAAAAACGTGCTCTCCCCCTAGGGTGAAGGGACACACCCCTGATTGCTGTTGTCTGATTGGCCACTTGGCAAAAAACGTCCAACTCGCCTGCTCCGAGTTGGGGAAATTAGAACATGTTCTAATCTTCCGACTTGCTGCTATCGATCGGTTGGACGTGCGACTTTTGCGTTTACACTGGCGATTGTCAGTTGCCAAACTGCCAAGTTCGTACAATTCGGCAACTCAAAATCGTCAGTGTAAACCCAGCTTATGTATCCGCTGCAGCTGGCGCTGGCTAGATCAACCCGCTGACGCATAATAAAATACAATTGATGATAAAAGTTATACAACAGAGTGTAGAACTAGAAACTGTTGACACTTTTATTCATATTTAAATTTAACTTGACAATAATACCAGCTGAATCCAGCTCTTGCCTTGTATTAATCTGCAATGATGTGGTTACAATTGCATTCATACATTGTCTGTTGAAACTATGAA